AAATAAAGATTGTCAACTTACAACTGATCACTTAGCAAAATAATAGAGCAGGAAACCGTATGCCATTTCAGACAAATGGTTGTCCAGTCTCTTCTTAAAAACCTCCATTGATGTAGCACCCACAACTTCTACAGGCAAGCTGTTCCACTGGTTAATTAACAGAATAAGAGTTGGAAGGGACCTTGGAGGTCTTCTAGTCCAACCCTGAGAGGAGACCTTATATCATTCTGGACAAATGGTTGTCCAATCTCTTCTTAAAAGCCTCCAGTGATGAAGCACCTACAACTTCTAGAGGCAAATTGTTCTCACTGTCAGGAAATTCCTCCTCAGTTCTAGATTGAATCTCTCCTTGATTAGTTTCCATCCATTGCTCCTTGTCTGGCCTTCAAGTGCTATTGAAATAGGTTGACCCCTTCTTCTTTGTGGTAACCCCTCAAATATTGGAAGACTGTTATCGTGCTTCTCCTAGACTTTCTTTTCATTAAACTAAAATATATCCAATTCCTGTGTTCTTTGTATATTTTATCCTCCAGTCCTCTCATCATCTTTGTTGCTCTTCTCTGCACTCTTTTTAGCATCTCAACATCTTTTTTACATTGTGGTGACCAAAACTGGATGCAGTATTCCAAGTGTGGCCTTACCAAGGCCTTGTAAAGTGGTATTAACACTTCACGTGATCTTGATTCTATCCCTCTGTTAATGCAGCCTAGCACTGTGTTGGTTTTTTTGGCAGCTGCAGCACACTGCTGGCTCATATTTAAGTGATTGTCCACTAGAACTCTGAGATCCCTCTCACAGTTATTACTATTGAGCAAGGTACCATTTATACCAGGCATGTCAAATTGCCAGCCCGCGGGCCGGATGCGTCATCCTAAAAGCGCGCCCACCCCATTGCTGACAATGGAGAAAAAGCTCCGACACGTCGCACGACGTCACGTGACACCGCGAGTTTGACATGCCTGATCTATACTGTACCTGTACATTTGATTTTTCTTCCCTAAGTGTTAAACTTTACTTTTCTCTATATTGAATTTCATTTTGTTAGATAGTGCCCAGTGTTCAAGTTTGTCAAGATCCTTCTGTATCTTAAGCCTGTCATCTGGAGTGTTGTCTATTTCTGCCAGCTTAGTGTCATCTGCAAATTTGATGAGTTCCCGATCTATTCCCTCATCCAAATCATTGATGAAGATGTTGAAGAGTACTGGGCCTAAAACAGAGCCTTGGGATACCCCACTGCAGACTTCCCTACATGAAGATGAAGTTCCATTGAGGATTATCTGTCGAGCGCGATTGGTTAGCCAGTTACAAATCCATCTGCTGGTGATGCTGTCCATCCCACATTTTTCTACCTTATCAAGAAGTAGGCTATGGTCTACTTTGTCGAATTCATTTTGTGAGGTTAGTCCAAATTTCTGGAAAGGGACAAGTTGGGGAAAATGCATTTCATAGCTTACAAACTGATCCCCTTCAGTCCAAATTAGACAACACTTGACAACCTATGATAGTTTCACCACTCACGTTGATTAACAAGGATATGGGGAAGTTGGAGATGTTTAATACTAAAGAAAGGAGATTTATATGGCACACTTTGCCATATATCAAAAACATTTTGGAAGCAGCAGAACGCAGCTGCTGAGATCTGCAAGTAGGAACTGCACACTGCCCAGAGGCTAGCATACAAGGACAAATTATGCACTTTAAAAATCACTTGGAGGTGTGGGAAATACTTCCAATGTAATCTAGTGGATCCCCTGCATGGATTGCCCCTTTGACTATGTAGGACAAATGGGGAGGAAGCTAACCACCAGACAGCAAGAACATGACTGAGTAGTTAGATGAGGAGACCCAAACTCATTGGTAGCCTCACATTGTAATGAACAAAGACACACATTTAATTTCGCAGCTACTAAGATTGTTGGATGAGCAGGTACAAAAACAGCCAGGGATATGATGCAAGCCTGGGAAACGGGCCCCTTGTCAGTCAACAGGAATGCTGAATTACCACCAGCCTATCAAATACTTAGGAGCCGAAGGCTTGGCAGCCCAAGGAAATGACAGCCAATTGCCAGCCATCAATGCACCAATCAGCCAATAGGAAGGCACCTCATAAACACGACTCACGGAACAGCCCAAAGCACGAATTTCAGGAGAGAGAAATTCCCCAAGGATGGGATCCGGCATGAATCCAAAAGCTATTTGCCTTCATTCGAGTGGAGATTTACTTCTTTCCTAAAGTCATCATTTCAAGTTTTTTTTTTCCCAGTTCCAAAATGAGTCAGGCTAGGTGGCATTAAAACCTTATTATTTATTAAACTTCAGATCCACCTGATAACACAAATGTTCTCTGGACAGTTCATAAAACTTCCCCATTCACCATTGACACGAATGAATGACTCAAAGGGTTTTTTTTTAATTTTATGACCAAGAAGGAAAACATAATCCCTTTCCACTTTTTCCCCTCCATGATCCGTAACTGTACGAACCCCCCCCCTCTCTCCTACCCCAGTTAAATTGAATCAAATACTTTATTGGGCCAACTGGGATTAGACCCACAAGAAATTTCACGGAAACTAAAATGTCATTTTTCCCATCTCTCAATTCAGTATCTCCAGATTCTGCTTGGCTCTCGTCCTTCACCTCAGATTGCCAAAATGTTCTACTTTTGTTTTGAAAGTCCTAAATCTGCACAATTGTTAAGAAGGGCAGATCCCTGGATGTGGGCAAGATGACTGCAGGACATCGTAGGTAGTCCTCGGCTTACAACAGTTCATTTAGTGACCACTCAAAGTTACGACAGTGCTGAAAAAAATGACTTATGACGGCTTTCCACACTTATGACCATTGCAGCATCCCCATGATCAGGTGATCAAAATTTGGATGCATGGCAACTGATTCATTTTACGACTGTTGTAGTGTTGCGGGGTTATGTGATAACCTTTTGTGACTTTCTGACAAGCAAAATCAAGGAGGAAGGCAGATTTACTTAACAACCGTGTTCCTAAATTAACAACTGCAGTGATTCAGTTACAGTAGTGGCCAAAATTGTGGAAACCTTTTGGGAAAAGTGTACAGTAGAAATGCCACCTTTGGTTAAGTTTCCACCCATTTTCTAATTTCTTTATAGCTGTAGCCTTGTTCACTTAATAACACTATTTTACATTGCTTTCTGGGCAAGCAGTCAACTCTTTGCACCATGACTTTAATTTTATTACGTTTTACAAGCTCACTAAATGAAAGAACACAAAAAACTGCGAACCAACTTGATAGCCATCACATAACACACTGACTAATGTCTCTCAGCTTCAATTCATGACATCAAGAACTGAATCCTACTGTGATCTGATTGGCTCATGGCCAAAACAAAATGACACCTGATTGACTCTCAAAACACTCATGCTCATTGGCTACAATCGGATGAAGGAAAGCTACCTGATACCAACCTAAGAAAGTTGTGCTTCCTTTTTCTGGTTATTCGGCTCTAACTTTTCATAGAATACAGTACAGATAATTGAACAAACTTTGTTGCATCACATTCTTGATTAAATTATCTTTCCATTGATATATAATTTTATGTTACTACTCCCCCCCCAAAAAAGTGGTATTATTAGCCATCAAACCACAAAAACACACTTTTCCCAAAAGGTTTCCACAATTTTGGCCACTACTGTAACAATGGTAGTCAGGAAGGCTGTAAAATGGGGCAAAACTCACTTAACACATGTCTTGCTTAGCAACATAAATTTTGGGCTCAATTTTGGTCGTAAGTCAAGGACTGTCTGTAATCTTCTCAGACTCCTTGCTGCCATTAAGGTATATTTTGGCCTTCGGGAATTTAATTACAGTACCTTCTGGAGCAATATTTCTCAACCTTGACAATTTTAAGGCATGTGGACTTCAACTCTCAGAATTCCACAGCCAGCAATGCTGGCTGTGGAATTCTGGGAGTTGAAGTCCACATGCCTTAAAATTGTCAAGGTTGAGGAACACTGTTCTGGAGGAATGAAATGTGAGGGGAAGATTGTCAAGACATCTGAGCTCAAGGAGATATGAAAAGAGTAACTTGCCTTCGTTTTTCCTAGGGTGGCATGGTTACTGCAGAACTACAAGTAGGTCAATGGGAAGTTAAATCCCTTCCTGAATTCAGAAAGACATAATCAGAGGAGGCATCTTGCCAAGTTTAATCAAAACTTTAATAGTATCTGGAGTATACTAAATTACATTTGTCTTCCAGAAAAAGAACTCATCATTCTCCATTTTTGGTACAAGAATTGATTTGTTCTACTGATAGCAGAGAATATTTGCAGCTCAGGGTTAGACCGTGGAGTCCTGGGTGCTCTCTGAGCTTGGTGGTTTTCTTGCAGACGTTTCATGACCCAACTAGGTAGCATTATCAGTGCATGGAAGGAGTGGGGTTTTCAGAGAGGGGGAGGAGGAGGAGGAGGAGGAGGAGGAGGAGGAGGAGGAGGACGACGACGACGACGACGACGACGACTATGGGGTCCTTGGTGCTTTCTGAGCTTAAATTGTTTTCTTGCAGATGTTTCATGACCCAACTGGGTAACATCATCAGTGCTAGAAGGGACGGGGAGGAGGAGGAGGAGGTGGAGAGGAGGAGGAGGAGGAGGAGGAGGAGGAGGAGGAGGAGGAGGAGGAGGAGGAGGAGGAGAAGTATGGGGTCCTTGGTGCTCTCGGAGGTTGGTGGTTTTCTTGCAGACGTTTCACGACCCAACTAGGTATCTTTATCAGTGCCGGAAGGGAGTGGAATTCATTCTCTGTTTACATACTTGCCTTGTCAGTGTTGATGGGAGTTTGTTGTTGGTTCCTTGATTAGGCTGTTGGTTACTGTTTGATTGTTTGTCTGAGTTGATACTTGATAGTTGATAGTTCTTTGATTGGGATATTACTTCTTGATTGTTGGCCTAGTATTATTCTCGGTGTTATTCTCTCTTTGTGTAGGAGTTGGGGAGTTGTGTGTTTGGTCTTTATGTTTTTTCTTTAGCTTTTTCATTATCTCTTTTGAATGATGTGTAGATGTGGCTTATCTCTGTGTGCCTGTGGATCCACAGACAAACAACGTAACAGTGAACGACAGCCTAAGGAAGGAACCACCAAGAACAAAACAACACTCCCACCAACACTGACAGGGCAAGCCACCTGTATATAAACAGAAATCAACCCCCTCCCTCCTAGCACTGATGAGGTTACCTAGTTGGGTGATGAAACATCTGCAAGAAAACAACCAAGCTCAGAGAGCACTGTCCTCCTCCATCACCCACTCCTTCTGGCACTGTTGATGCTACCTAGCTGGGTAACGAGACGTCTGCAAGAAAACAGCCAAGTTCAACCCAAAAGAGCTACAAATATTCTCTTCTAAATTTGAACTTACCAAATTCTGTGGGTGAAATTCTAACCGTATTGTGCAAGGATGAATTTCTATGGGTTAATCACCTGGATAAGAAATTAGCTAGCAGAGGGAGGGACAAACCAAACAAATCTCTCCCCAACAGGTAGCCTTCCAGATGTTTTGCGGCTACAAGTCCCGGAATTCCACACCGCCAACTGAAGCAATCTCTAAACCAGGGTTCGGCAACCTTGGCTCTTTTATGACTCGTGGACTTCAACTCCCAGAATTCCTGAGCCAGCCACGCTGAGGGAAACGGGAGAGGTTTCCAAGCTGAGCCATGCTGGCTCAGGAATTCTGAGAGTTGAAGTCCATGAGTCATAAAAGAGCCAAGATTGCCTACCCCTGCTCTAAATCTTTGAGGTGCAAAACTGAAAAATATTAGGCTAATCCACAGCCTTTCCATTTTTCCCAAAGCCCAGAGCCAAGGAACCAGCCCAGGCCAGCAACCAAATCTACGTTGCTAGTTCATTCTTTGGATACCAGCCTCATCTGAAAATAAGATATATCTCTGTATTTCTATAAATACATCCCTGTATAAATTCAATTTATTCCCTTTAGGAGAACAAAGCTCATTTCAAATAATAGCTTATGGCATTATAACATTTAAGGCTAGGTTGTGCAACAGCCAAGGAGTCCACAGGGAGGGATTTGAAAAGTCAAGTTGCTAGTCCTGATTGTTTGAAGCCCAGTTCCTTTTTTACACGTACAGGTCGTCCTTGACTTACTTTGTTTAGAGACCGCTCGAAGTTACAACAGCACTGAAAAAAGTGGCTTATGGCCATTTTCACACTTACGATGTTACAGCATCCCCAGGCTCCTGGGGTTGTGATCCCCTTTTGGGATCTTCTGACGAGTAAAGCCAATGGGGAAGCCGGATTCACTGAACAACAGTGTTACTCCCATTAATAACTTGTTATTCACTTAACAACTGTGGCAGGTAAGGTCATAAAATGGGACAAGACTCATTTAACTGTCTCGCCTAACAACGGAAAATTTGGGTCCAATTGCAGTCATAAGTCAAGGACTACCTGCTTGTACGTGTGACACGTATAAAAATGAGGGGGGAGGATTGATTGTGTATTTGTGACCACCCTCCTGATTTTTTTTTTTTTAACCTCTCCCTCCTGCAGACAGACTCGGTTGGAGCAACATTAGATGCCTTGCCAATTTAAAAACAACACAGTTCATCCTGGTTGAGCCGACATTTGAACACAGCTTGCGAAGCTTCCTTTCACTGCTCTTTGAAACAGATTGAGAGCAAATTCTCATCAGCTTAAAGTAAAATCCCTCCCCTTTTTGCCAGCTCAAGAAGTTAAACCATCCAGAAACACTAGAAGGTGAAAGGATTGATAAATCACTGGAGGATTTTGGCATTACAAGTCCCACCTCTGAAAAAAAAAACACCGGAAGACAACCATTTTAGTGCAAACACACACAGTTCAGAGACAAATAGGGCCTTTTGCTTCCAGGTGCAAAGCTTGTGACAATACAGGCAGTCCTCAACATACAACAATTCATTTAGCGACTGATCGAAGTTGTAACAGCACTGAAAAAAGTGATTGGTGACCGTTTTTCACGTTTAGGACCGTTGTAGCAGCCCCACGGTCATTTGATCAAAATTTAGATGCTTCACAACAAACGGCTATCGTGTCCCAGGGTCACGTGATCATCTTTTGAGACCTTCTGCAAATCAAACTTAATGGTGAAGCTGAATTCATTTAACAACGGTTACTAATTTAACCATGGCAGTGATTCACTTAACAACCATGGCAGGAAAGGTTGTAAACTGGGGCAAAACTCACTTAACAACTGTCTCACTTAATAACAGAAGTTCGGGGCTTGGTTGTAGTCGTGAGTGGAGGACTGCCTATATTCATCTTTTTTTTGATCACACGTGCATCTGTCTCAATTCGAAGAATCAACACACAACCGTGTCTGATTTTCCCTCTTGACCCTCTGATTAGAATTATTTTGTGTTAGGATTATCAGAATAAGGCAAGGTGATGTTTGTGAACTTCAAAAGCTAGATGTATCCACAGAGGCAGCTTAGGAGACCCAGACAAAGTAAGCCACCTCATCCAGATCCACGGGGTAGTCCGTGATCAAGGTGGGAGTCTTCTCAAATAGCTCTCCTTTGTAACTCCGCCATTTGCCCGCCGGGATATAGATGTCTCGTTCCTGTTTCCCCATCTCCAAGACGGGAGCCACCATCAAGGTGTCTCCAATGAGAAACTGAGAATCGATCTTGTGAGCAGACTCGTCCCCAGGAGAGATCCACCATATGGGCCGTATGATGGGATCCCCCGTGGTCGTGATCTCCCCGGCTAGTTCCAGCAGCAGAGGGGCCACCAAGGACTCGTGAAGCTTGGTGAACTTCAGGGCAATTTCGATGACCTCCTTATCGTAGAGCCAAGGCGGGATGGAGAACTGCATGGACGGCATGAAAGCGGACAACTCCAGCCAACGGAGGTACAGTTCCCGGTCCGGAATTTGCACAGCCCCCTCCGTTTTGTTGGGGAAAAAATTCCCTCCAATCATGTCAGCAGATATAAATGGGTACCCCAACATGCTGATGGTCAGGACGGTGGGGATCAAGGATTTCAGGCCAAGTTCATAGCCCCACACGGAATCCCGGTCAATGATCCTGAAAAAGCAGGAGATATTCTGCGATTGATACCCCACTCTGACCTCAGCCAGTTCATAAAATGGAATGGCCATTTCCGTGTAGCGCCTGGACCAGACACTGGGATCTGACAACGGTCGGAAGGTGCTAAACTGTTTGGGAAGATAGCTGGTCTCCCCGGCATCAAATTTGAAGGACGAGATGCCGTATTTGTTGCGGAGTTGTCTCAGCTGGCTCTGGAACCAATCTCGGGCTGCAGGGTTGGTGAAATCCAAGATGGCGCCAATGCCGTTCCACCATTCCACCATGGCTGGCAGCCGTCCTGTGGGTTCCTTGATGAACAGCTGTTTCTCTATCCCCACCCCAAAATTTGAGGAGTTATAATTTATGAACGGGTGGGTCCAGAGGGTGATCTGAAAGCCTTCCTCTTTGAGCTTCTTAAAGGTTTCAGTCACGTTGGGGAACTTGGCCGCGTCAAAGTCGAAGTCGCCGTACGCTTGGGTGTAGGTGTCATCGATCTCAATGTGGCTGCAGTTGAACTTGTACTTCTTGATGTTTTCCGCAAAACGCAAGAGTTTCTCCTGGTCGATGTCATTTTTGTACAAGGCCCAGGTGGACCAGATGGGGTACCTGAAGGCGTTTCTTGAAGGTATCTTGGAGGGCTTGTAGAAGTACTTCCGCACCATGTATTTGTGGATGGAGGTGACGTCGGAACCTATGCAGACCCGGTAACTCAGCTCAGGAAAAGGCTGCTGACCCAATGGAGGTTTGTAAGGAGAGTCTTTATACCTGGCTTGGAAGACAAGAGAGGGTTCCGTGGCATTGAAGCCAAGGTGGAAGGGCACCGAATCGTTGATCTTGATGGCTGCAGCTTTGGAGGACAACCAATACCTTTCTAAAATGCCTCCAAAACTGTTCCTAAAAGAATAGACATCACTGGTCACAAAAGGCATGGGTTCTTGGTATCCGGGCAGCTTGATCGGCCAATGCTGGACACTCATCTCACAGCCCCCATACCAGAGGGCATCTCCCCAGAACATTTTATGATCCACCACTGTGTCTGCCACAAACTCTTCCCAACGCACCCGGTAGCAGATCACAGTGTCCTTCGGGGTGACAATCTTGATGAAGAAGTTGACTTTCCCTTTGTCGGACCGTGTGCAGGTTAAATTGGCCCCCTCCCTGGAGCAGGACTCAAGGTCCAGAAGCCCCGATTGGAAGGCCACCTTGAAGACCAGCTCGCCGTTCTGGTTCTTGATGGTGAATCCGTCCTGCCGCAAATCCATCTCCGCTGTCTTGAGCCTCTCTGCCTTCCGGAGGGAAGCCACGTAGTAGCACCATGCCACCACGGCGGCAATGAACAAAATAAGGCCCACCACGATGGCGGTAATCATGGGCTTCAGCTCCTTGGCCGGCTTCTGCTTCACCGGGGTGAAGTTCTCAGGCAGGAAGGTATACATTGTCCCCTCTTATGTCGGATTGCTTCCCAAGGCAGTGCCTGTCTCTGATTTTGGGTGCAAAGTTGGAAACATAGGTGCTGGGTGATGATTCACCTTCACCTGGTTCTTTAAGAGCGGCTGGCCAGCTCATGCACTTCCTTCAACCAAGGACACTGAACAGATCTCCATCATCTGCCAAAAAAGAGGGAAAGAAAAAAAGCTGAAAAAAGTTGAACAAAGGTCAGCTAGATATTCTCTTAATAGCCCACGTCATCTTCTAAGACATCAAGAAACGATGATGTATAATGGCTGAAGCAATGTTTGATAAAACTAGGAGGACCTAAAAGTGACCTGGAGACAAACTACGTTCTTTCTCACAACAAAACCAACCCCCCTTGGGGTCAATTGTAAAGGTGAAAAATTGAAGGCAAGGAGCACTATGTGTGTCTCCTTGAACATTTGGAGGAAAACTGGATATAAACCAGTTAGAACAGTGGTTCTCAACCTGTGGGTCGGGACCCGATTTGGGGTCGAACGACCATTTCACGGGGGTCGCCAAACAACGCAGTCCGCCATTCCCCCCCCTTTTCCTTAGCTGTGCTACTCCCTTTTATTCTATTGGCTTTTGAAAGCCAATAGAATAGACTCTCTTGAATAGAGAATTCTATCCAGGCTCCAGGCTGTCTCTGCCCTGCTGAGCCCGCCAAAAGTCCCATTCTGCAAACGGTGCTGCAAGTTGTCTGCAGCGAAGGCGAGCTGTCTGGAAGTTTCCACCCCTCCCTGCTGAGCCACCATAGCAGTCATGCCCTCCACCCGAACCCCACAGCATCATCTGCGCACGACGGAGTGCAAGAGTGGAGTCTTCTCCCTGCTGTCTGGCTGCCATGTCCTTGGCTGTGCTACTCCGCGTGGGCCGTGCCCAGGGGTGACTCTCCTCCGGGGAGGCTGCTGGTGAGGAGGGGGCTGCAGGGGGAGGCGGGGCTGGGACAACGGCGCGTGTGCTCACAGAGAGGGCTCTGAGTGCCCCCTCTGGCACGCATGCCATAGGTTCGCCACCACTGTTATAGGGTCTCCTGCTTGAGCAGGGAATTGGACTAGAACAGGGGTTCCCAAGCTTGGGCCACAGCCCACTAGTGGGCCGCGAGAGGTTTGCAACCAGGCCACAGAAATGGCTAGCTATCATGCACACACGTGCATGCATCCTCACTTGTGCGAGCAGGAGACGAGCGTGTGTGTGCTCCATTTAAGTGAAAAGCAGGCATGCATGCACACCACTCGCGCAAATGGAGTGTGCACACATGCGCGTACTTGCCGGCCACTGGCATGGAACTATCCCCTCCCCACCTCGCTGGTCCGCAAAGCCAGAAACATTGGGGATCTCTGGACTAGAAGACCTCCAGAGACCCTTCCAATTCTGTTATTCTGTTAAATCTACCTAGCGAAAGAAGTTAACCAGGTTAAGTTAAAAACCAGCATTGGCCCAATCTGGGAAGGTTGGTTAGCTTCTCTGAAATGATTTGTTTGCTTGGTGACTTTTTCATTGAAATGGTTCAGGTGGCTTGATTCCTGAAGTCGTTCCAATAGATGTTCTCAAGAATGTCTTTCTCGTTATTAAGCAAAAATGTCGCATGGTGGGTTGGTCCAGCTACAACTCTATCAACACTTGATCCTGTATTTCTTAACTTTGGCCAGTTGAACATGGGTGGATTTTAGCTCCCAGAATTCCCTAGCCAGCCATGTTGGGAGTCCAACTCTTCAATTCTGGGAGTTGAACTTCAGATATCTTCCAGTGTCCAAAGTTGAGAAACACTGCTCTAGATCAGGGGTCCCCAACCTGTGGGCCACATGAGTGGCTGGCTGGTGTGCGTGTGTGCATACACACACACAGTCCCACTCACACGAATGTCACCATGAATGTTGTGGGTGTTTGCAGCCCCACTTGTGCAAGTATCACCGTGAGCATCGTACGTGTTTGCAACACCATGCGCGAGTGCTCACAGCCCCACTCAAGCAACAGGTGTTTGGGCACACATATGCACGTGCATATACATTCACACCCCCCATACAAAATCATCCCTTCTTTTTCCCCTCCCCCTGCTCAAGGCTGCCAACCCGAAAAGTTTGGGGAATTCTGCTCTAAATGGAAGGATTCAGTTGGCAGTCACCTGAATGAGAGAACCCATTCCTATTTCATTTCTATTTATCCCCTCTGATCTAAAAACAAACCTCACCTTTCCCTGGGTTCTGCCATACTCCCAAGGGGGAGGGGGGATGTGCCTGCGGGTTCACTACAGTTCACTTCCTCTATTCACTACAGTGTAACAAGTTGCTTCCTGCACTGTATCTCTCTCTGAACTTTCTTCTCCCTAACCTGTCAGCTAGGAAAAATGGAGGGGGGGGAGAAAGAAATACAACCTCCGGAGTCTGGCTTATCTCTCCGTTCTCAAAAAAAGGTGCGAAGAGCCGCTTGAACATCTTGCTGCAACCAGAGCCGGACCAATGTTATCTCCCCTTTCCCACGATGGACTTAACGCCTGGGTATTGGCCGGTTCTGAACCGTCCAGATGAACTGTGGGGTGGGGGTTGCTTAGGGACACTTTAAAATATCGATCTGTAAGGGAATCCCTCAAATCCTGTCTATTATGCCTGCTATCAACTACTCTTAATAAAAGTTCCTGTTGGAAGAAATTGTTTCCAAGAGTTCTGCTTTCTTAAGATGTGGGGTTGAAGTGGGTCCTTACAGAGAGTACAGATAGTCCTCAACCTACGACCATATCTGAGCCCAAAATTGCTATGCAAGATAATTGTGAGTTTTGCTCCATTTTGTGACCTTTCTTGCCACCGTTATTAAGTGAATCACTTCAGTTGTTAAGTTAGTTTCACGGTTGTTAAGTGGATCTGGCTTCCCCATTGATTTTGCTTGTCAGACGGTCACAATATGTGATTGTGTGACCCTGGGACACCTAACAACGGTCTGTAACAGATATTTTGTGCTTAATTGTGGTCGTAAGTCGAGGACCTACTTAACAATTGTGTAAAATAGTTATGATTGTCAAAATATAGGAAGGCTGGGTTTTTTGAATAACACCAAAGAGAACAGTTTGCACAAACTTCAACGGCCCAGGATCTTATAGCAAAAGCTATAATTGTTGATCTCAGCGTCTTCAAGTCACTAGGGATCAGAAATTTGCCAATCACAGATTCCTTCTATAATTGGAAGAATGTCTGACCCCAGCAAGCTTCAAGTTTCTGCCAGAATCGGGGGACCCTCCCTGTATGACGTCACAGCCAAATGTCACCAGCCAGACAGCTCAGTTGTCTGTGCTACACAACACAGAGGCTTCTCCTGGCACGATGTTGCTTCTCACATTCTTGCAGCTGTTGCTTCGAACAGCAGCGGCAGCAGCTGCCAAGTTTGGGGTGCTAATTCCATTCCACTAAGGCTGAATATTTAACTTTTCCACTTGGCTGATGTCTCTCCTTTGGCCAGACACCAAGCTGAATACAGAAATGGATTCTTGAATCATCAAGTCCTTGAAACAAGTGCTAACTCTTCGGATGCCTTCACCTAACACCCTTCACCAGCTCTGGAGAAAACTTAAAAGAGTTTATATTTATTCAACTTGGTTGCAGTCACTGTGGGAAGAATTTAAGCACTTATATCACTGTGTCAGAAATACTGTATAGGACAACATAGGTTAACTCACCCAGGTCTCCAACTAAGTTACTGATTAGCAGCCTCTGACATCCTTTAAAATTACAGCACACTTAAAAGCCCAACTCAAGACTGAATTAAACACCTATTTCAAATTGTAAACACATACAAGCAAACACACCACATTCAATTAACACAATGTAAACACAATTATAATGCTTAGGGTTCAAACAAAGAGACTCAATCCACATCACACGATTTAATCAACTTTGTGTCCGGGTCAACACACACACACATACTCAAGCCCACACACCAAGGACCAGTTCCTCTATAAAACAGCCCTTTTATATCCCATTTTCTAAAACTTCTTTGCTTTGGGGAATAAATAAATCTCCTTTCCTCACAGAGGTTCCAGATTTCATTTTGATTTATTGTTGCGCAATCCCAACTTGAGTTGAAACCCCAAATTATTCTTCTGACCTCACCTTGGCTAGAATGTGTATAGTGCTGTCTTCCAAAGAACAGTTTACACGCAGGGGTTCTCAACCTTGGCAACTTTAAGACTTGTGGACTTCAACTCCCAGAATTCCTCAGCCAGCTTTTGCTGGCTGAGGAATTCTGGGAGTTGAAGTCCACAAGTCTTAAAGTTGCCAAGGTTGAGAACCCCTGGTTTACAGGTAATCCTTGACTTACAACCACTTGTTTAGCGATCACCATCACAATATTATGGAAAAAAGTGTCTTACAACATGTCCTCATCCTTACAACCGTCAGGGTGACATGCTCAGAATTTGGAATTTTAGAATGTGGTAGGTACTTATGACTGTTGCCCTGTCCCTGGATCATGTGATCACCTTTGTACCTTCTCAGCCAGCTTCCAACCAAGCAGAGTCAATGGGGGAAGCTGGACTCACTTAACAACCGTGTGATTCACTTAACAACCCAGGTCGTGAAATTGGGTGCAACTCATTTAATAACTGCCTGGTTTAGCAACAGAAATCCTGAACATTTTACTATGTTTTATCTTCTTATAAATCACCAAATTAGGTGCCAAACAAATTTGATTAAGCCAATAACGATGGTAATCATCATAATTTCAGCCCAAGACCATAATATAGCTCACAGTTTTCAACCTCAGCAATTTAAAAGGGGGTGATTTTGCTTGCTGGGAAATTGTGGGAATTGAAACACACCCATCTTAAAACAAGCTGGCTTGGGAATTCTGGGAATTGAAGCCCATCCATCTTAAAAGTTGCTGAAACTGAGAAACACTGCTTTACATTAAACCCAACCGGTGAAGACAAACAGGTCTTTACATTCTTCACAAGTCCTGCCAATATGGACTAAATAAAGCCGTTCGTCTCTTTAATTTTGCAGCTTTTGGGCTGCTTCCAAAGAATTAGGATGGCATTAGAAGAGATCAGACACCATGAAAGGACAGATGTTGCCAACTAAATGCTTGGAAGCCAAGCACTATTAACATAGCCTGTATTGATGGTGAAGAAAAGCACTGGGTGATTGTTCTAAAGGTGTCACCT